ATTTTTGGCTAAATATGCTTTTAAATAAAGCATATTCTTAAATTTTAACGAGGCAGTTTAAATAATTTTGCAAATGGTACTGTACACTTTTGTCTAGTTCTCGCTCGATGATCGGTGGAGAAATGAGCTCCGCAGACAAATACGATTGAATTTGGAATTATGCTACGGCGCATCCTAATAAAGGGAAGGGGCATATCTCTAACTTCCGGAAACGAACAGTAATTTCATGCTTGTGGCTTTTACAACAAATAAGAAGAACCTAAATAAATAATAGTGCTGATGTATCCCTACATAAACAATTTCTACTATGCATGTAATTTTACTGTACTTTGACGTATGAACTGGATACTAAAATTTTGAGTTTTTTTCGAGTTATTGTATCCTCTTTGCGAAATTATTCAGGTGGACCTGAACTTATAAAATTCTATTTTGGTTTAGTACATGTGGGCATATCTTTCGGAGCAATTATTCGATATTTAGTTTTATTCCCAAGCATTAGCATCAGATTTTGGTTAGCCCAACCATATCTGGTAGGCAGAAGTGAAATGCATACTTATGATGATTGTTTCGTCTTTATGACATAATCAGCTACTCTCGAATAAACATGAACATAATGCTTTTGTCTATTTATTTTAACAATTACAGCCTCGGGGACATTACATACATATATCGAACAGGGTAATTATATTACCATTTAAGAGCATCGCTCAATCTTCATTAATTTGCTTTAATTATGTAATTCAAGGTGAAGTATAACATCATGTAAAACTGAAATAAACAGATTACTCGCCCAAGGGGTGCAATATTCTTCTTGTTTAGCTAAGTAAATGCTTACTACAAGCTACAAATAATTCTCATTGCAACAATTGCATAATTAGTATTAGCCCCAGTGACGAATTGTCTGGGCGGGCGTCTAGGTCTTGAATGATTTCTGTCTTACAATTAAATAGTATTAAGCACAAGAAGTAGTCTTGTTGGAACAGAAATTGAAATATTATTATTGATAGATTATAACAGAAGAACAAACAGGCGACATCGAAAATACTAATCGATGAAGATTAATAATAATTAGTTGAATGTAAACAATGGGTTGGCAAAGAAAATACCCGAAAATTGAAGGTCGGGGTCAATTCATGTATGTCCATTGAGTTGAAATGTTGGACCGTTAGGTCGAAAAAGCAAATCCACCGATATAAGACGGTAATCAAGAAAATCAGGGTCAGTTAGCCAAAAATAAGTCATATCCACGAAAAACTTGACCAAAAGAGAAGCATCGAACCGAAAGTTCACCCGCACAGGCTATTTATTACATGAAAGCGCAGGCCAGGGTGTTTATAATCCAAATATTATTTGATGTGAGGTATGAGTATCTAACACCAATTAGCTGTTTTATTTTGAAATGTACCATTTATGCAAACTGCAATCGTATGCAGATTGTACTAGAGACGAGTTAGAAGCTGGACAGAGAAATTCGGGAATGTCAGACGTATTTTTGAACATTATTTGTATCATCAATCAGACTGAGACAAACAACGTTCTACTACTACCAACGGAATTTAGTTCTGAGTAAATACAATTATTAATCATCAATGTATAGCAGTGTCACAATAATTACTTCAGAAATCAAAGAAGTCCAATACTGAACTTTAGGATCTCATTCGAATTGGGCTAGGTGCCCTCGTATCGATTATACGTTAGATATGCGACTGTTTGTACGATAAGCGGTCAATAAAGAAGCGGACGAAGACAATTAGAAAAAAAGATATCTGTAGGAAGGGATGTAAAAATGTGCTAGTTACAATAACAATTAATTAAATATCTAGGAAAATTCTAAATTGTGCCATATGGCATCAGTAACACAACGATGTTAGAAATGAAGTATTTTTCAAGTAATTCTTGACATTAACCCATCAAAGCAATCATTTTCTCATTCTCGTCTGATCGGTTGAATAGGGAGTGCACCGTGACGTCTGATACTCGTTTAATTAATGATAAATTGTCCTTAATAACATTTTGATTAATTACCGATCGGGGTAGACTTTAAATTATTTAGTTTTAATGAGGTGCTTACAAGGATATTATTACCGAACTTATTTTTAATCAACAAGATACTGCAAATTCATCCCGATACGATGACCACGTCTGTTTGTCCGTTATATACGTATAATCAAAATGCAATTAAGCGTTATGCAATTTATCAAGATGGAAAACTACTATTCCAATTATTTTACCGCTTTTTATACAAGATATAATATGAACGACTATGTACGTAGTAATAAGTGAGACGATGTGTGGGAAGATGTGGTAAGAAGCAATAAAAAGGGTAGTAAAATATGAGGAGAGATTGGGGAGGCTGGAAGAGGAGGATATAAGGAAGGAAATACGGTGAACAAGGTAATGGAAATAGGGGCAAAAAGTATGGTGATTGAAAAATTTGCGTTGGTTATTTTTGATGGCATGGGGGATGTGGAGGGGCTCTAGAAGGTTATTATGTCAGTAGCATTTACCTTTTTTTACTTTTTCGGAGTTTTCTACAAAATTTAGTCGATTTTGGTTTGAACATGTATGTCAACCCTACTTATCTATTCTTGAAATCGGAACGCATTTTCAGGAACTGCTGCTCGTGAGTCAATAAAGAAACCAGAACTCATTGAAAAATGCATGTACCAATGTTTATGTAAGCGTGGGAAATGAGGGTAAGAAGTTTGCTTACTTTTACTGACGAAGAGGAGGGAGGGGTTAATAATTGCAAAAAATCTGCTAACGTAATACTTGAACGGACCCAGCGTATTAGTAAGTTAATTTTTGAACCAATTTTTATCTACTAGAGATAACCTCAAATCAATAAAAAAAGTTATCACCTCCTTGTATCTTAAGGGTAGAGTAGAGTACTGGTGCGTAAAACGAAGGGTCCGGGTTCAATTCCCCGACAAAGGAGGGCAGCAGCAGCAATTTTTCGTCGTTTATTTGAGGTTATCTGTAGTGGGTAAAATTTGATTCAAAAATTAATTCTCTATTAGGTACATTGAATTAGCGCTACAAAAATTCAAAATTATCTCATTAATAATTGCAAGAATCTAAAAACAGAATCAAAATTCGAAAGCTATAAATGCATGTTAACTTTTAAATCACCCTGTATAGAAATATGTATCCATCTGCGTTTAATCTATACCGATACTTCCTGGCTAATTTTAATGCAATTTCCATACAAAGTGATTACAGAATTTCTCCTTTAATCGATGCATTATATTGGCGTATAGCCATTTAAATTGTTAGTTGTAATGAAAAGAGTCATTGTGGACTAACGCGATGTCGTTTTCTCACGCTAGTTACAGACCACGTGCCCGAAATCTATTATTCGCAATCACAATGGAAATTTGTTCTCTTTTGAGTCTATTTAGTTGTAATAAAAAGGTCTTTGTCGTCGGCTACATGCGGCTGAATAAAAGCGCCATCAATCGTTGAGTTGAGAGACGTACACAAAACGTTCGATTTCCGCACGCCTTCTGTCATCTTGAGATAAACATCGGCGCTTCGGGCCATACGATTGACTCTATCTAATCCGTTCGTCTACATTCTACATGGTTATAACTATTATAACTAAAGTTAAACGAGATATAATGTAAGTATGTATAAGCAATAGCATCAGGACAGTCGCTAATCGAACCACAAAGAAAACACCGACATTTAATCGTGTTATCTGGCTTTTTAATTAAAATNCTATTTTTATTTGGTTATTGTGGGTTATCCCTAAGAGATAGACATATACCATCGCGGACTTTTGTAGACCCTTTTAAGATGTACAATACTTTAGTAAATTATTTTGACCTATCTCGTAGGGTTTAGCCAGCGTTTGCAATGTAAGCGCAAAAAATGTGTTTATATACGACATCACATTAGAAACCTCTAAAATTATCAGTGTTTCCCTACTATATTATGCATGTATTATACATATGAACCTTCCTCTTGAATCACTCTATCTTTTAAAAAAAACCGCATCAAAATCCGTTGCGTAATTTAAGATTTAAGCATACATAGGGACAGACAGCGGGAAAGCGACTTTGTTTTATACTATGTAGTGATTAACTAAGTATATGTGAAAACAGAAACTGTAACTGAATGCTATCAATTTACATCCATAAAAATGTTCAATGCAATGCAGGGTGAACATACCATTAAAAATAGAATAAAGGAGCACAAAACAAGGATTAAACTAAAAACAGGAAGCATATGTTTTTCTAGAACACTCCATTTCGGAGAAACCATGAATTATTCGAAAATGATATTAAATTTTTAGAAAAGTAAAATACTAATGTATACTTAGGTCACCTTGAGAACAAAAGAGTTTTCATATTTCCTAAATTAACCTTTTTTGGCAATCTAATTTTATTATTTTTAGTTGAGACATACAATGATTGACTTTGATTTTGCATTGTACCTATATTATTATTTCGTCAATTTATACATTTGCTTGATCTGCGGGGGCTCTGATATGACTAAGCGGATATGATGACCTGCGAACGCAGCGCATCCTGACCTAAGGCTAAGGCGAAGACGCCGATCTAATAATATTAACGATAGAGCTAAACAGAACGGACATTATAACAACCTCACTTGTCAAACATTTGCAAAAAGTTTGCACAAGCAAATTGAAATTTATCGTCGAATTGAAGGTGTAGGCGAATTCAGTTTCACCTTTGTTTGTATGTCTTTTGAAGATGGTTTATAGCAGAGGTCGGCAAGTAATTTTAGGTGGGGTCTGAATGTTTTTGAAAATTGTTATCAAGATCCAGAGAAAAATTGATAAAGATTACGCTTAAAAGTCAAACATACTTTATGATCCACAGATCAGAATATATTATTTAAATATCCTATTGGGTAATTTACTTTCAAAAAATTTTTGGCGGTTCAGTTTTTGACCTTCCGCGGTCCTGACCTTGACCGCGGTCCTTCACAGTTGAAATTGATAATTAACGATAATATTGTTTCGGTATACTTACCATCTCTGGGATGTAATATTTCAAATGGCGTGTCTCTGCAATATCTTCATACAGTTACAAAATCCTGAAAACAAAAAAGTATAATTAGATAAATGCCAAAGGTTTCTTCATCTCTTGTAGTGTTAGTTTTGTTGAGATTTTGATTTTTCCGAAAGTAAATTTTAAAACATTTATTCCAGCAAACTATAAAGAAGCATATTATATTTTTCTAGTGCAATTTCAAAAAATAAGAACCATCTTTTTTGTCTTAATTTCTTATAAAAGGATTAAGATTTTTAAAATTTTCCAAAATTAAGGTTTTTCTTTATTTGTTTTCTCATCGTACTGATGTTTCCGAGTGATTTGATTTCGTACTTCGTTTGTTATCTATGTAAACTTCAAAAATAAAAACTGTTAGCATCTAGGTACTTTAGGTCACTCAAAAGCATCTAAAAACATTACTCGACAAGAGAATAATTAAGGAAAGATAAATCAATTTTTAACGATTTTAGTAGGTAAATCTTAAATCATACATTCACTTATTTTTTTAGGCTGCCTAAAGTACACGTTAGATCATTTTGAATAAATTTTGGTTAGAACTTGTTTAAATCTCGAAGCGTTTCATGAACGGCTACCGATTATTATTATTTTCAATAAAGAGTCGCAGCGGTAAGTCCCACCCTGTCCCTTGTTGTACGTAACATTTAAAACATAAACTATTCGATTACACGAACTTTACGAGTCAGTGTAAAAATTATTACGCGACAACAATGGACGCCACCAGACGGAGGTAATTTATTAGAAATATTGAATAGCTATTCAGGAGATACCGGACGGTAAATTGTGTAAGTGAGAAGTCGAATGTGCCGTTTACGGTAATTTATGCTCCACGGAATACAAAAAGATAGGCTCCACGTAAGGTACAATTAAATAATAATAATTTAAGACCATCGTAAATTTTCAATTTTGTGGGCATCGTCTTTCCGAATTCGAAAATATGATTTTTGGCAGGTACGATCTATAGCTGCCTGTGTGCTTACGTAACATGAACAAAAGATTTCGTTTATTTCATTCCACATAACTTTGGGTAATAAATAATAAATACCAGATTTTGAAAACGAAACGATGGAGTGATGGAGTACAGGGTGTGCATGCATAACGAATGTTAAATTGGTATCTCACAAGAAAAATTTACGGGTAAGTTAGAAATTGGATGAGGAGTATAGTAATAGTTCATAGTTTTCGTTTGGAAGGATGTTTGGTTTAATAAATAATGCATACGCAAAAGGCATTTTCTATAATACTATCTGGAAATAAAAGTAAAACAAAAATACTGGTATTTAAGGGAAGAAAAAGTAGGGAAAGAGCAAATATAGCAAATATCTAGGAAGTCAAATAAGTCAGGACGGAAGTAGTAGTAGGGATATAAAGCAGAGGATAGCAAAGAGTAGAGTCGCCTTCAATAAAAACAAGTCAGTTCTATGCTCGCGAACGATTAATTTAGAAATTTGAAAAAGGTTGTTAAAGGTGTATGTTTTTTAACGCGGCGTTGTACAGGTGCGAAACATGGACGGTGGGCGCGGCGGAAAAGAAAAGGTAGAAGCGTTTGAAATCTGGTGTTACAGGCGGATGATGAGGATACCGTGGATAGAGAAGGTTAGAAATGAAGAGGTATTAGAAAGAATAGGAAAACAAAGGACAAAAGTCAATAAAAAATACGCGAGATAGATCGGTAGGATACCTTCTCAGGCATGAAGGTCTACTTAGAGACATATTAGAGGCAGAAACAGAAGTTAAACTAGGTTAGATTACTGTTTGCAAATAGTTAAGGATGTGGGATGTTCTAGTTTTAGAGAAATGTGAGGATTAGCTCAGGATAGGAAGGAGTGGAGGTGCGTGTCCAACCAGTAGGACTTACGACCTTAAGATGATGATGATGTGGAAAGTGAAAGGTGTATATTTTGTAGGTTTTACAGAATTCAATTTAATGTAACTTCTAGTTGCGGAGAACAGAGAGTTTAGCGTTTTTAATCCTCCAACCAATAATTGCATATAAGTACTTAATAAACTGTAAATTTGTACTTGAAAAACGAACAGTAAATGCTGTCTTACAGAGGGGATCTAAAGCGATGGAGGGGTCATGTAAATTCCAATTCATTTTATGATAATGGATGGATGCTACATTACGACAACGCGTTTGTGCGTTCAACAATGGCGTACGTGTTTTCGGTCCGAAATTCGATCACTGCACTAGATCACTGTCCCTACGCACAAGACTTAACTGCTTGCAATTTCGTTTTGTTTCCTGAATGTAGAATAGTTATCCCAATGCAGCATTGAAGACAATAAAAGGAGAAACTAAGGTCTTCCAATGAAGTTTAAAATAATGGAAATGGAGATGGGGCAAGTCCATTAAGCAAGCAAGTCCAAGAGATAAAAATGATACAGCCGAAATCGTTTGTAGTAAGAGTCTTTCGATCACAGTTTCTCAGTTTGCGAATTCATTGGGTAGACTACGTATACCTCTAGTACAAAATGGATCATTCATAAGTGGGCTGCTCTCACATGAATAAACCACTTGAAGCTTTTCCGACATAAAGCAATCGCTTAAAGTTGATAGCACTGATCCATCTTATCATTCCCTAACCATAATTCAGCAAACGGAATAAATCTCCTAGACATTGTTTATATCGATTCCCACGGTACATTTCTCTCAAGATGTAGTGCAACAAGTTGACCATTAATTTCCGTTTATTCTTTTGCATTTTCGGCCCTCGCGGACTCGGATTGTTAGGCCCGTAAGGCAGAGCGTGCTGCATTTAATGAACCCTTTACAGTTATTGCTCGATAATGTCAATAGTAGATACGACTGTGCACCAAGAACTGAATTTGAAGTAGAAAAGAAAGAGAGCAAGGGTCGCGGGTATCACGACCGTGTCCATTCGGAATGTTGCCACTAATTGGCACCGGAAGCGACCAAGTGTCAAAGGTTTGTTCGTAATTCTTTGTTTGTTTCCAATCAAAACGCAAAATTCGTGTAACGACTTCAACGTGCAAACGAGATTTCTTTTGCCTTGTTACCACTACCTTTATGTATCCTAGTATATATATTTCATAAGTTTATAATGGAGGTCAATACTAATTTATAAAGTAAATGAGCTGTCTATAATAGTAATTGTGATCATCATTTTCATCCTGCATTTTTGTTTTCTCGAAGAGGAGTGTATGATTTAACATTTATAAGTTTATAAATAACAGAAACTTACTTCTTTGGCACAGTTTGCTGATATTTATAGGAGAATAAATGACACCAAGTATAACATTCATGGCTGTCTCTTGTTGTGGAAACACATTTAGGATTTCTAAATTCTTAATTTCCCTTCGAAATCATGTAAATTAATTTTTCTTTTTATAGGTAGGTATCAGAAATTACGGCAAATGTTAATTACTTGGAACATAATTAATGTAACAAAGGGAGTATCTTTTCACAATCCAATGAAAAGTTCATTGAAGCAGTGTTCAGTACTACGTTCATGAAGGATTTTCACTGTACTTTTAAATATTTCTTGTCGCATTCTACCAGCGTTTAGGAAATATACCCATACTATGTGACCTATTTGTTTTACAATTTTTTATCTTCCTCCCCCCTCGATGACCACTCGCAGTACATGCCAATAAATATAAAAATTTTTCACGTAGTAATTTATAAAATGGTACTTTTTGCAAACAGAAAGTTTTGAATAATGCTCAAAAAACTGCGAGATTTCCCTAGAGGAATATGTGACGAAAACCTAGACCCCCTCCACCCGGACGAGACACGTAGTATGGGTACGTTCCTCTACTTGGCTTGTTTGACCTTCTGTTATTACTGAATTCCTTTGGTCATAAATTTTGGCATGTATTATTAAGTTTAAGACAAAAAACCAAAGCAGTGGTCACGTAATGCACAGTAATAAATTTTAATAACAAGATAAGAGAGTTATGAAGTGTAATAAAGTGTAATAGATTTATCGCGTAGTGAACTGTTATAGCAACATTAAATGTACAAGCTGGGACACTAATGTCAACGTTTACTTCGATCACCTTTGCCTTGTGTACGTTGATTACACCTTTCACACATCGTCAATTTTTTTTCTCGTCTTCGTTTAAAATATCACGTTGAATTTATTGCACGACGATATAACGATTGTGAGCATCCTTTACATGATTTGCGGGAAATTTTTAAGGAACAAATCCAATGGCAAGCATGTACGCACGTGTATATACCTATGTTTATATGTATGAATAGGTACGTATATGTTCAATTGTAAGCCTTGGGCAAGGGAACCGATTATCTGATCCAGGCTTTGTTCCAGCGAACAGAGAGAAGAGGAGAAGAGGTTGCTTCACATGTTGTCTAGCATAAATACTTCACATCTTTACATCATGTTAAACCATCCATTACCATCACTTTCGATAACGAATGCTCACCACGGTGCGAAAAACACTAGGAAATAGCCGCATTGACCCGACCTCTACCATTCTTTTTGACCAACTATTGCTTTGGCCGTATACTTACACACATATTGTTAGTTTCACGTACCCAAAACCAAAGATGTTGCTACGTATCGCTGGACTAAGCCGTTTATACCTAACTGTTTTTGAAGTAACGGAAATTTTTAATAAAGTCTACAATAAATGTGGATACTGTAACGATATTATTTATATTTAGTATAGGTAACTCTATCTGATTATGAATTTATATTTATATCGAACTTCTCGATTCCGCAGTATTTTATATCACTCGACTTTAATCGATTGCCTTCCATGGGATACCTCTCACCCATTTGTCCAATCATCAGGGCTCCTTGTTTAGTTATACACATACGAAAAGCTTTTAGATGTTCTACGTTCTTCCGCTGGTCGACTATCAAACATGGCGTTTTATCGATTGTCATTTGAGGCATTCGTACACGACAGTACTTCGCCATAACTACACTGTATTGTAGTTTTATTAAGCAATACTGCACCTATTTAATTTTTTATGAATATTTACACAAAAACAGGCATGAAGGTCTAATCAGAGACATATTAGAGGCAGAAACA